TGGTAATGGCAAAAACAGACACCGAGCGCCTCCTGATAGAACACAGAGAACACAGCATCACTTCTCTCGTATTCCTGCCAAAAATTCATAACCGGATTCTAATTGTGAGGCATCAGACAAACCCAATGTAAGGGTCATTCTACAAAGTAACTGGCCAGCACTCTTCAAAAATATCAAGGTCTTTAAAAAAATTTTTGTTAAAAAAGGAAAAACCGAAGAAGTGCTCCAGGTTGAGGAAAACAGGAGGGAAAAACCTAACTGAACACATGCAGCACCATGGACAAGACCCTGGAGCAAAAAGGCAAGGATTATTGTAAGGACGTTTTTAGAATAACTGGTAGCATTTGAATGGGGTCTGTGGATTAAATGGTAGAATTTTATCAATACTGGTTTCCTGATTTTGATGGAAGTACTGTAGTTATGGCTAATGGGACATCATAACTGCAACTTGGTATCAATTCAAAAATTAATACGTATACAGAGAGAGAATAAGGTAAATAGGGCAAAATGTTAACAGGCAAGGGATATATAAGATTTTTTAAATTATTCTTGTAAATTTTCCATCAGTTTAAAATTATTTCAAAATAAGAATTAAATATATACAAAGTGGTCTTTTGGCCATAAGAAATTTATTACACTGATTTTTATACTACTGGAGAAATCGCTGCTTGATGCTTTCATTATCTCAGGTAAAACTATTTAAAAGAATAGCTGAAATAAATGTGGAAGCAGCTTTTCTGAATGGACAATAATGTAGATATAAAATCCTACTTAACAGTTAAAAATGTGTAATATTCTGAATCTTCATTAAACATGCTTCTTTCTTCCTGCAATGGTTTATCTCCTTGAAAAAAAATAATCACACATATGATATGGAAAAACCTTGAGAATTTGAGTCCTGTACATTTAAGTAATTTTTTCTCATAACTGATAAAGGATTTACACGATCTCATTAGAGATTTATGTCCCTTGATATTTAAATATGAAATTTAACCTGAACCATGACTTACGTTGGAAATTAGAATATCTTTACGATTTCTGGTATATTCTGCTTTAAATTATAGTTTGGGGTTAAATAACTGTTTAATATAAAAAATCTCCAATGGTAGCAAATGTCTGTCTATAGAAGAGGTTTTTTTTTAATCTCCCTGAGCCCAAACCAAGAGTCCCACGCTTCCCTGACTGCACCCCCCCCCCCCCCCCCCCCCCCCCCCCGCCCTTCATTTAGAGTCAAGGGATAATGTCATGTTGGGTCAAGACTGCAAGTTGTTTCTAAAATAATTTACGTTCCTCATAAGCTTGGTAAATGAATCTAAAGAGAAATGAGAGCTCCCAGAATATTAAAAACAAGGACAGCAGCAGCACCCTTGGAATAAAAACAGCTTCCCACAGAGATTGGTTAGAAGGACTTCACTAGTTGTGAATGTTCAATTTAGCAGTGCCTTAAAAACAAAAATTTCAGAGGAAAAGAAGTAAATATAATAAGCTGGATACTGAACATTACAATCAACAAAACCTCAGAAAATGATGTGGTAAGCCTGTATGAATCCTTCATACATTCTCCACTTGAGATTATCATTCGATATCAAAAATTTGAGCAGGATCCATGGACTCCATTAACAACTTCACAAAAAAGGCACATATACTTCAACTACAGTGAAGAGAAATTTAAAACTCTCCACCCTTCTTTTTTGCTCTTTGCAATCGTATTTTGACTTCAAGAACTAAAATGAAATAGGCCTGAGCACCCCCCTCCCCCAAAAAAAGACAGCTGTGTGTGCACACTGTGGGGAGGAAAGGGGAAGAGAGAAAGGACAGAACAAAGATACTCTCACTTCCTGCAAAGTCCTGGGTTTATTTATTTTGGTAATTTTTGGTATTTTCTCAGAGATGCATCTGAGGTGGTTAAAAGTAAGAGACAAGCAAAAGGAGAAGAAAAACACCCCTCCTTGATCCCTGCTCAGGTAGGCAGATCCGAATGTTCCTTCTCTAGTTCCCACTACATCTTCACTTATATGTTCATTCTACAGTTACTGAATGGATGAATAAAAGAGGGGAAGGTGGTGGCAAGGAACAGCCAGCCCCAAAACAATCAGCGTCTCAAGCACGGATTACTAACCACTAGTACGCTTACACAAAGTGAACATAAACTAAGGAACTAAAGCACAGCAGCACAGAAGACAAAAAGTAGTTGAAATTTACAGCCTTACATCTCATAATGTTAGGGTAGGGACTGTGGAGTTGATCTAGTTCAACTCACTTATTTTAGTGTTCAGTGGGTTCTATAAGGATTCTAGATCCATTCATTTAGTACCGAATGAAGGGACTCTATAAGACTGGGTCCCACTCCCACTCTGACCAGCTACGAGGCTCTCAAGCAAATTCCTTCCCTTCCTGAGGCCCACTCATCCAACAGTAAAATAAGTGAATTGAATTAGATGAATTCCAGTCTTCCTCGGCCATAACGTTGTAAGATCTTACGCTGTAAGATTTAAATTTCAACTACTTTTTTTTCCCCCTATAGGTTTTCTGCAGACATTGATAAGCTGATTCTAAAATTCACACTGACATCCAAAGAGAACCAGAAAAACCAAAACAATCTTGAAAAAGAACAAAGTTGGAGGGCTCACACTTGCCAATCTCAAACTTAATAGTAGTCCAGACAATGTGGTATTGGCATAAGGATATATTATATAAATCAATGAGATAGAACTGAGAGTCCAAGAACAAACTCATACATTTATGAGCAACTTTCAGCAAAGGTGAAATTTGATGAGGAAATGGTCTTTAAAACAAACCATGCTGGGACAACTGGATGGCCACATGCAAAAGAATGAAATTGGACCTCTGCCTCATACCATATACAAAAATTAACTCAAAAGGACTCAAAGACCTCAAGAGTTTAAACTATAAAACTCATAGGAAAAAGGTATATATCTTTGTGACCTTGGATGAAGCAATGGTTTCTAAGATATGACACCAATAGCACATGGAACCAAAAGAAAAAAACCTAAATCCTAATTCATCAAAATTAAAACCTTTCGTGCTTCAAAGGACACAGTGAAAAACAAACAGAATGGGAGAAAATGTTTGCAGATCACATATCTGATAAGGATTTAAGTATCCCAACTGTATTTAAAAACTACTATAACTCAACAACAAAAAAGATAACTAAAAAATGGGCAGGAGAATCTGAACAGACCTTTCTCTAAAGACATACAAATGGCCAATAAGTACAGAAAAGATGCTCAACATCATTAGTCATGAAGGAAATGCAAATCAAAACCACAATGAGATACCTCTTCACACACACTAGGATGATTAGAATAAAAAAACAGGGTAACAAGTGTTGCCAAGGATGTGGAGAAACTGGAATCCTTGAATCCTGCTGGTGGGAATGTAAAAAATAGTACAGGCATTTTTGGGGGAAATAGTTTAGAAATAAAGTTTGGAAACCTGACAGTTTCTCAAAGGAGTTATTGTATTATCCAGCAATTCTTTTAGGTATATGCCCCCCAAAACTAAAAACATACATCCACACGAAAAACTTATATAGGAATGTTCAGGGCAGCATTATTTATAATAGCCAAAAAGCAGAAACCACCCAAATGTCCATCAACTGAAGAATGGATAAACAAAATGTGGTGTATCCACACAATGGACTATTACTCAACCACATAAAGAATGCTGATACATGCTACAGTATCAATCTCAAACATATTATACTAAGCGAAAGAAGTCAGACACAAAAGGCCACATATTGTATGATTCCATTTTTATGAAATATTCTGAATAGGCAAATCCATAGAGACAGAAAATAAACTGATGGTTGCCTAGGGCTGGGGTGAAGGGAAAATGGGAAGTGACTGCTAATGGATGTAGAGTTTCTTTTGGGGGGATGAAAATGGGCTGGAATGAGAGTGGTAATGGTTGCACAACTCTAAATATACTAAAAGCCGATGAATTATATACTTTGAAAGAGTGAACTTTATGGTATGTGAATTTCAATTTTTTTTAAAAAAGGCCCTCCTTAGAAAACTGATTTCCTCACTTCTATTTCAGACCACCTACTGGTTCATGAAAATAGAAAACTTTGCAATGATACTTGACATTTATAATCCATTGTAACAAATACTACAATAAAATTTCTCTTTAACCAAATTATTCTACATATCAGCTGATGGTCCACTTGTATTTAGTTTGCCTCGAAACAAAATCTGAAAATTCCTCTGAGTTCATGATGTATTTATAGTCCTTTTTTAAATTTGTATTTTTCTTAAGTAACTAACGCTAAACAAATGTCTTCATTTTAGAAATGAAGCCATCTTCAAGAAGTACTTTAAAATTTAATTCCTTTTTCATAAGACAATCAAAAGGCTAAGCGAGAAATAATTTTTCAGTATCAGTATTGCAATGTAATATGTATAACCAGATGCTTTAAGCCATGTAACAAATGCTGACTTTCTTTCTCCTGGAATATAAATAGGATGATTCCAGGCTTACTCTCTTCAGAAACAAGAATTTAAGTGAAATTTTTTCAAAGCTCTACAAAAAAAAAAAAAAAAAAAATACTCTTTATTGTCACCTTCTGTAATGTTGTTTTGCATTCTGGTTTTTGGTATCAGAAGACTGTAACTTTGTGTTAGCACTATAATCCACAATAAATTCTCTGTAAGCTCTGAAAGAGAATATTAATTCTAGTCTGATATCACTGGGTAGTACCATACTGTACATAGATCCATATAAGTTAAACAGGAATGATCCTTCTAAAAATGCTAAGTATGAGGAAGAGGGCTTAATTACTTAAGAAGTAAAGATCAAGGACTGCCATGATCAAGCTACACACTGAAAAAGCATCAACAGATTACAAGAGGACAACATGATTTTCATTTTTAAGTTCAATGAAAATTGCATATGTTCAGTTTTTACTCTTAAACACAAGTGGCTTATAGAATACCAGGGCTGCCAGCCCCAACAAAGACAGGAACACAGAAAGGATGACCTTATCCAACTTCAGTATTATTTTTGTACTTAGGTGTATAAAATCCATCCACTGCTTCAGCAACCTTAGGAGGGAGCAAGCCTAAGTGTTGAAAACATTTACACCTTTTGATTAAATTATACTATTATCTTATAAAAATATGAGGTTCAACATTTGTTTCCTTAAAAACAGAGCACTAAACAGTTTCCAATGAAGTATCCTAGCTGATAGCTAAAATGTATACAGAATCCTTAAGACTGTAACACGGCAAGGAGTTCTTTTGCATTATGTGTATTCAAATGATGGTGTTGTAATTCAAACTGAACATCCTGATAAAACAAGAGATGGGAGAAATAAAAATTGATTTCTGAACCAAGTGTGCACCACCTTCCTGGACTGACTAACTGGGAAATACAGGTAAGGAGATATGCCCCATGTGAAGACAACTGCCTATCAGAATTCAAAAGAAGAGTTAGAGCACAAACTCTTTGTTTTCTTTTTGTTGTTTTTCAAACACATAGGCCTCAAAAAACTGTTCCACCAGTTATTTTTTATATAGCATATCTTTTCTAAATAATTCTCACTTTTCATTCCAGAAAATGTTAAGAAACCGTTTGCAAGAACTCACAACATGCAAACATGTTTCTCTAAGGCCATGAGCTGGTTTGCTAAGTTGCATTGTTTTATTCAAGTAAAATGTCCTTCTAGAATAAGGGGTCTATAGAGGAAACCAATCACCTTCAATACTCGGGCCCATGCACTTGTTAGGATCTCTATCACTCTGAAAGCCAAAAGGTAGAACGCTCATTTGAACATTAGCAAAATGGACTCTATTTACATTTTTTTAAAAATCTAATGCATGTTAAATTTTTCTGGCAATTCTTTTTGTATGTTACAAAACAAAAAAGCAAAAGCTTAGAATAAGAACGCTTTTTTCTTAGAAAAGTCAAACAGATACTTCTTGACATCATATCCTTTACACAATGGCATACTGTTCATATAAAAGGTCTCTTATCCTATAAAAATCTTGACAAAGGCAGCCTTCTAATCCAATGCGTCCAGTTTCCGTCTAGAAAGTAAAAGTAAAAAAAAAAATCTTTAGTACATTTCCTGTTCATTAATACGCAGACATAATAAACAAGATATATTAACTAGGTTATTTGGTGATTGGTCTGGAAATGGGTTGCTCTGCACAGAATATGGATATAACATTCAAATCATGAATTTTACATAGACACGTAAATATCAGGATTCAAATAATAAAATTTTACAATAAAATCATACATCATTTCTTTGAGAGTCACTTTTATAAGCCTTTAAGTTCATCAGTACGAATATAAATTATGGTCTTCAGTTTGTGAAATTACCAATCAAGAATTACAGAATTCAAAATGGCATTGTATCAGAAGGAAGTATTTGTTCAATTCATCCCTTATTAAAAACATACTTACTCTACGGACTGCTACTTGGTTGTTGCAAACAAGTACACCTCCTACAAATTCAGCCTGAATCCCCTCCCGTAAGAGAACTTGTTTGAAGTCTGACAGTCTTGGTTCATTCATAAAAACTGACTGATGTCCAGGAACCTTAGAAAAGGTTAAAGGGGAAAGAATAACTTCAGATAAAACACCAGACACACAGTTGTACTGAATAAAGTCAAGTAACACATGATCTCTAAGATACTTTCTATCTTAGAGATAGACCTGAAGACCTCTGACAGATCGTATCAAGGCTGTAAATCACATTCCAAGTTGTTATTCTGAATTTTACCTCCTTATTTAACATTACAAAGCCCTTCACATTTTCTGAATGTTTCCCAATTTTATTAGTCATGCCTCACAGTAACAGAGAGACATTTGGTGATGTTATGCTTTTCACTCACCCACTTGCCTGAGGGGGTCAAGGAGAGTGCCAGTAGGCAGAACTGAAACAAAAAATTCATTTTCTAGTCCTTCACTTAGTTCTGAGGGGAGTTCGCCCCTGATCCCACTTTCACCTTCCCTTCTCCCTGAGAGTAAATGCAATGGACACCAAGGGTTTTAGAATCAGAAAAACAAGCAGTTCAACCTATTGCTGCTACTTGGAAATTGCCTTGAAGAGCACTAGCTTTAGCACAGAGGGAAAAAAAAGATTCTTATTCCTCCCCCAATCTCAAGAGTATTACTAGAAGGGAATCCAGTGACAGAAGCTGTCTCTCTACTCCTGTTGCACAGAAAGGCTAGAGTCCGCGACATGCACGCAGGACTCTTATCATACAGTTTTAACACTGTCGTTGTAAGTTAATTACCTGAAATCTTTGCTAACTAGAGTATCTCCTGAGAACATGAAAATACTATATTAAAATTATATCTACGCTTAATAAAAGATTTCTAACTGTATCAAAACCAAAAGTGATTTCAGCTGAATTGACAACATACAAAAATGGAGTACAAGAGTTTCAGTCTTAGAAAACTATAAATCTCCTGAATGGAAGCAGGTATAGGATATAATCCTCACAATCAAAATTTAAATACTGAAACAATAAATTACAAAACAATAATGTATCTTATAATATTTGCTAAACGTTTCCTTTAAATTATCATTCCCTTGCCGTCAGGATACATACACATGCTGGTGTGTGCACACACACAACCGTATCTTAAGTAATCTTTTTCTAGAACTCCAAAATCAGCCTACACAGGACACATATTTTAAAGAGTTAAAAACATAAAAGAAAAATCCGGAGGCATGTGCTTTTTTACCTCGTGGGGGGGTAAGGGCTCCAAGGTCGGAATGATCTCACTTTCTTCACCTGTCTCTTTCTCATCATCCCCAAACAGACTCTTCATGGCCTTCTGTTGTGCTATAACACTGGAATCCGAAGGAGCGTCCACTTGCATTTCTGAGTCTTCTCCATCATCCTTCAGTTCTCCTTCTTCTAAAATAACTCCTGTGTCCACTTTGGAAACTCTCATGTCCAAGACACCATCTATCCAAGCTAATTCGGCATCTTTTGCCTTACAAAACTGAAGGGAGCTGACAAGTGAATCTTTCAATCTCACCTAGAGAGGAAGAGAGACAAAACCCAGAGTATAAATTAACAACAAAATATAACCAGTTATTATTATTTCCTAACGCTGGTAATGTGTATTAAGATTCGAAAATCTTTCACTCATCTGATCTTCACCATGACTGGTAATGACCTAGTGACCTGTGAGATCATTAGGACCGCTGTCTACTCTCCAAAAGGTTCTTAACCCTTGGCTGCACACTGGGATCACATGGCAATTTCTTAAAATACATGTTAATGCCAGGGTCCCACCTTCAGTGACTCTAACACAACTGGTGAGACTAAATCCAGAGCACTGAGTCCCCCCATCACCCCCAAAGTTCCCCAGATGGTTCTCATGTGCAGCCAAGGTTGAGAACCACTGATAAGCCTCATCCTCTAGTCGTTGCTGCTCTTCAGGAGTACCGAATTACTTACTGTTTCCTTCACTACCATGAATTTCACACATCCATATTCTTGGAATGCTGCTTCCTCTTTTCTGCCCAGAATAACTTTGCTGCCTGGTGAATTCCAACCCATTTTTTCCAAACAAATCTAGACATCGCTCCTTCTTTAACTGACACCATCTCCCCCCTTCCAGATAAAATCTATTCTCTCCTCTGTTCTATTTCTATTTTTTATACCTGCTTCCATTTTTTTCAATTAGGAATAGACCCTTGACATCAGTGCATTTTTATAAAACTTCTGAATTCTCGACTAGTCCCCATTCCTCTCACCTTTACACACTTGCAAATGTTGTTCCCTCTGCCCTGGAATACCCTTCCCCCAAACACACACACTCTATACCACCCTGATGATCCATCTAAACATGTTAGGATTCAGATTAGTTATCACTTCCTCTGGGAAATCTTTTCTAAACCTCCACATCTGGGTTGGGGTCTCACAACATCCTGTACTTTCTCTATCAGAGGTAATAACAATGTGAGAAATGCTCTTTCCTTGTTATAAGCCCCACAGATCATAAGATCTACTAAGACAAGGGGACCATGTCTGTCTCATTCACCACTGTATTCCCAATCTACTGTCCTCATCTGCAACAAAAAGTATTTATTTCTGTACAGTCCAAATGCCAGCACACTCACCTGGTAGATGTGAGTTTCACTAGTGGCATCAACCGTTTCGTGTAGCTTTGGCATGTACACCTTAATATCTTTCCCGCCAAACGCACGGCAGCACTCTGCAAGATCCTGACTGGCCTCTGGTGGTCCATGGACAATGATCAGCTGTCGTGGTTTCATCTGATTAATGATCTTTTTAATGGAATCTCCATCAGAGCGTCCTTCATAGTCTATGTAAGTAACCCTGGCTCTGTAATTAGGATTATTCAAGCTTACTTTTCGGATAAGTTAACTCCAAAACTATGTTATTGATGGCTTTTATCATCAGGAAAGAAATGTATACAATATATAAAATGAGGATTTGAGGAATACACATGTTATATTGTTAGTATGTATTTGAACGGGAAGGATTATGGATTATTCAATAGGTATTATTAGAAAAAAATAACTCACATATTATATAAAGAAAAATAAAACTGGATCCTGATCTAATGCCACACACAACAGCAGGTTGAGTTGAAGCCATAAAAGAGAAATGTGAAGATTTAAACTTAATAGAATAAAATGTACGAATTATGTTTGTGACCATGGACAAGGAGGGACTTCCTTATATATAATCCCAAAAACCATAATGGAAAATATTATTTCATTACATCAAAACTAAAGATTTTTTTTAAACAAAGTAGACCATGGACAATTCTTATAAACAAGTAACAGAATGGGAGAGGATATTTGCATTGTCTGAAACCAACCAGGGCTAATATCCAAAATATACAATGAACCCCTGCAAATCAGTAACAAAAAGGCAGCAACCGCTAGAGAAAAATGTACGAAGGCCACACACATGGACTTCACAGAAAACAAAAAAGGTAACATGCATTTGAAGAAGATAAACTAATAACCACAGTAAGACAAATTTAAACAGTAGTGATACGTTACTCTATACCTACTAGGCTGGAAGACGTTAAGAGTTAGATAATGCCAAATGTTGGTAGGGAAACAGGATGATTCTGCTAGCAAAAATATAAATTGATATACAGCCATTCTAGAGAGAATTTTGTGATACTGTTAATATGCATTATTTAGATATCAGCTGTACCCCAAAATATATACTAAACGATAGCACTAGACAAATAAACCACTTTGCTCTCTAATGACTTAAAAAAAATTCCAGAATGATGATTTACTGGCGTTATTAACTGTACCAAAAGAAAAAAGGTTTATTTACTACTTCAGGTTATAGTAACATTTTTAAGACATTAGGGCCCTGGAGATGTTTAAGTCAAGGAGTATGTTTATAAAACACTTAGAAAAATTAAACTTGTGAACTGCACAAGTTCACATGCTACTGGACTTACTGAAAAGGCCAGAATGTTTCTTTGTATAAATGTGCAATTTAATGTTTAAACCCCACCTCACCACCAACTCAATCACACTGGCATTTAAATACCATTAATGAAAACAAAATGCCACCACACTTCACAGGTCTTTGCATTGAAAAAGAAATTAAATTTTAAAAGTACAAACTTACTAGAGGATATTCAGAAATTTCACTTTTGAAACAATGTAAATTATATAATTCAAGTTCTTAAAATTTTATCTTATAATCTAGTTTCAAAAATGCAACAAAAAGCACTTACTTTATTTCAATAGACTCTGTCGTAGAAATACACTTGGTAGGAACATCAGATAAATCCTGATCCATGGGTTCATCTCCATTTGTCAAGCCAGATTCTAATTTGCTTTTCTCTTCTTCAGTTGCCTGAAGTTCTGGCACTAAGAAATCCTCCGGTCTAAATGATAAGTCTCTAATTAGAAGCAGTAACGAGCAAGCTAATATTATGTAATATATGTAACTAGTAGATGGCACAAGTTTTAGACTCCTCACATATCTCAGATTTGAATACACAATTGATGCAAAGCTAATGCAACTTTATAATATCAATTACCAAATGACTGCATATATTCTGTTCTTCCTGACCACTGAGGAATGCTCTTTAAAACATGCCATGTGGGCTCGTAAAGAGGCCTACACCATTAGAAGATCTTCATGGCTATCATAAATACTGTTACAACCTGGCCTTGCATTTGTTTCAATCATTCTTTCTCTCAGTTCCTGTGGTTTCTCTTGCCAACTCCCAATTCTTATAAATCTCAGACCTCTTTTGATTTCCTTAAGAGCCCCAGTTATTCCAAAGAAATAGAAAGCAAGCATATGACTCTCCATTGGCACATCACCAAGACTGAGATACAAAATCATGAGCCTTCGCTTTTATTTCAACAAATTATGAATGCATCTATCTCCCCATTTTTACTTCCAGTATCAGAGAGAGTTGTATGTTAAAATTAAAAAACAACGGGGCGCCTGGGTGGCTCAGTCGTTAAGGGTCTGCCTTCGGCTCAGGTCATGATCCCAGGGTCCTGGGATCGAGCCCCCTGCTCAGCGGGAAGCCTGCTTCTCCCTCTCCCACTCCCCCTGCTTGTGTTCCCTCTCTCGCTGTATCTCTCACTGTCAAATAAATAAAATCTTTAAAAAAAAAAAAAAAAACTAGTCCAATATAGGGGCGCCTGGGTGGCTCAGTTGTTAAGCATCTGCCTTTGGCTCAGGTCATGAAACCAGGGTCCTGGGATCGAGCCCCGCATCAAGCTCCCTGCTCCACGGGAAGCCTGCTTCTCCCTCTCCCGCTCCCCCTGCTTATATTGCCTCACTCGCTGTGTCCCTCTCTGTCAAATAAATAAATAAAATCTTTTAAGAAATAAATTAAATTAAAAAAACAGGGGCGCCTGGGTGGCTCAGTTGGTTGAACAACGGACTACTGGTTTTGGCTCAGGTTATGATCTCAGGGTAGTGAGATCAAGCCCAGCGTTGGGCCCCCATGCTCAGCGCCAAGTCTGCTTGAGATCCTCTTTCTCCCTCTGCCCCTCCCCACTCCCCACACTCTAAAATAAATAAATAAATAAATCTTTAAAAAAAAAAAATTAAAAAACAAACTTAAAAATGTTCTCTCTCACCTCCTGTATTTGTCTATGCCCCACCCCAAATGCACTCACACTCCTCTCTGGGAATGCAGGCCTCTGTTAGCCAACACCTAGATTGCTATGGTAGCTTCTCAGACCCTGGAACCCAACTTCTCCATCTGTAATCCACATAATTGCAATAGCAGTAGCAACCACTTAAAGTGCATTTACTAGGAGCTGTGAGCCACAAGTCAGATTCTATGCTAAGGGCCTTAAAAACACAACCTCATTTAATTCTTATTCCCACTTTTCAGATAAGGAAATTGAACCAAAGAACACTTGTCCATATGCTCAACAGATTGGACACTAATTAAGGGGAATGGTAAATAAACTCACCAATGCTATTTAGATTATTTTCCCTCTCTAGTATTTTAGACAGTGCAATTTTCCTAATTAAATCCAAGAATGACCTAAAACCCACTATATGCTCAAGAGGGCATTACAGAGGAACAAAGAAAGTACAAGCGAGGGACCCAGACTGTGTTGGGGTGGAAAGGAAGAAACAGGAAAGGCTCCCAGCAGTTTGTAAGGGCCAATCCAGCAGGCTGGAGACCTGGGAGGGGAAGACGGAACAAAGCCGAGGGATGAACATGTGCAAGGGTGTGACGTGGAAAAGCCGAGCAAGACACTGAGAAGACTGGTACCGCTAGAGCAGAGCGCGCACACTGGCCTGACAGAAATGTACAGAGACCTAACAGCAAAGTAGGGAGAAACCAGGTTGTGAGAGACACCATGCACTGTGCTAAGGCATCTGACAGTCACCTGGAAAGCAACAGGGACCCTGAAGAATCTTCACACAGGGTAGCAGGGTTTCTAAACTTAGATTAGAACGTGTGATTTCAGTTGTTTTTCCAATAGTGGTGGAAAGCTCTTGATTTTCCATGGTTCCACCCATGCTATCTCATATTCCTCTTGTAACTTAAACATTTGTGTAACACTGCTTGAGATGTAACCCATTTCCCAAACTTCACACATCACCATCCATCAAAAATTCTCCCTATCCTCTGTCTTTCTCCAGTGCATGTCCCTTACCCTCTTTCTCTATTTTAGATTTATTTATTTGAGAGAGCGCGAGCAAGCAGGGGGGGAAGAGGGAGGGAGAAAGACTCTAGCAGACTCCCTGCTGACAGGGAGTCCCGTGCAGGGCTCAATCCCAGGACCCTGAGATCATGACCCGAGCCAAAATCAAGAGTCAGAGGCTAAACCAACTGAGCCACCCAGGTGCCCCCTTACCTCTCTTTAAGTGGGGAAAAAAAAGTCTTGCTCACCTTTTTAGACTTTTCACATACCTAGGTAATAAAACTGCTACTTTGCCTTTAATATTAATTCTTTTTTTTTAAAGATTTTTATTTATTTATTTGACAGAGAGACACAGCGAGAAAGGGAACACAAGCGGGGGGTGGGGCGGGGAAGAAGCAGGCTTCCCGCAGAGCAGGGAGCCGGATGCAGGACTCAATCCCAGGACCCTGGGATCATGACCTGAGCCGAAGGCAGATGCTTAACGACTGAGCCACCCTTATTAATATTAATTAATATTAATTCTTTAGATGTTCAATCTTTCTATTTTATACTGTACTTTTAAACTATACAAGTCCTCTGTATCTTTCAAAGTGGGGTCCTCAGAAACTATCAAAGTACACGGTATTATCAGAAATGAATGCCAAATTTATTGAGTTCTAATGATACACTGAGTTATATACAAAATACACAGTCTAATCTGGAAGAAAAGAAAAGCTTGTTTTGTTCACATACTTGATAATTTCTCCATATTCATCCCATTTAATTCTTTCTTCTGGGGCAGGAAACATAGGGTAAGACTTTTTAGCCTGTTTGAAGAAGCTTCCTTTACGACTACCTTCACCTTTCATCATCAGGTCATGCTTAGTCTTATGAGCTGACGGCTGGTCAATGTCTTCCTCAACATCACTCTCATCACTGGAATCTATGTCTGCCCTAAGAGGATTGTGGAACAGACAAAGGTCATAAAGTCCCCACAAGATTTTGAATTAATATTTACAAAATTATTTTTGAATTAATTCAAGGGTAATAATTTTATTGGACTGATAAGTTTGTAAAATAGCATTAACTGCCAGTTAATAAATACACATTAATACTAGCACTGAAAGTGCCAACCATACTCAAAAAAATGTTTTAAATAACACAACACACTAAGGTACATCATAATCAATGGAGGAAAACACATACATATACACACACACACACACACACACACTACAGAGGAACAAAGAAAACAATGACAGCATTGTCTGAGACTGCCTGCCAGAAACAAAGCAGTGAAGTCTGTAAACTGCTAACCATATTCCCAGGAAAAATATCATTCAAATATAAATATAAGAAGAACTTTGCCAGACTAAAAAACAAATAAACAAAAGAAAAAACACCAAAAATCTGATGGAGGTATTGCCTGCTGATATGTAGTCCATGAAACAAAAATCAAAGGAATTTCTTCAGAGAGAAGGGAGGATGATACCATGTGGCAATATGTCCACACAAGGGAGGAATAAGAATAGGAAATTAGAAATGTGTGCAATATAAGTCATTTTAAAAAATCTCTTTAAAAAATAAAATTGAGGGGCGCCTGGGTGGCTCAGTTGTTAAGCGTCTGCCTTCGGCTCAGGTCATGATCCCAGGGTCCTGGGATCAAGCCCCACATCGGGCTCCCT